TCCCCCCCCAAAACACTGTCCTCTACCAGAAAGTTGCAAAACCACCTTGTTTAGTGGTTATTGCAACTCTCACTTCCTTTCTGCTACCCCTCCCTTCCTTGCCTGGGGCTTGGTTCTTCTTAGGTGGAGGGGGCTGGAAGGACAAAGGAGTCAACACAGTTGGAGTCTGTGTGGCACACCCATAGCAGACCAATACCTCCAAATCCCGAAGGCTCAAGGCAAAAGGCTTGGAGGCTGTGGGAGTGTGTGTTGAGGGAACACTCCCACCTTCAATTCTGAAACTGAAAAGATGAGTATTACCACCCTGAAATCAACAACCCAGTGCCCTGGGCCCAGAGTATTTGTTGCCACAAGCAACAGGGCTGAGTGTCAGGGCACTTACCCTGTGTTGTAGCTGTTCTCCTTCAACAGGAGTTCCTCGAGGGAGGAGGATGTACAGATGCTCCACAGATGTTTGTTGAAAGAATGAATAATTCTACCCTTGAACACTTCCTAATGAAAGGCCACATAATGCCAATCCCTAAAGTCCTGCACTGAGAATTCACCTGACCCAGCAGCCGAGAAGTCAGAATACAGATACTTAGGGATAAAGAGCAGGGACAGGAGAGAAAGTAAATGTGGCAAAATGTTAACAACACTCGGTGAAACAGGTGAAGAATATGTCAATGTTCACTGACCTATTTTAACTTTTTTGCAGATTGAGGTCGGAGGACAGAGCTTCCAAAAAAGCAACCACAGCAGACATGTTTGGTGGCTACAGTTCCTCATCATGACCCCTCTGCATAATCATTTATTATATTTTAGTTAATTCTCTCAACTGAAGTAATTTGAAGAGGTCCTGGATGTTAGATATTCTGGAATTTTGTTAAATTGTTTTTCTTAGGTGTGGTAATATTGTAGTTATATCAAAATTCCTTATTTTCAAGATATATACTAAAGCAGGCTCCCCTTAATATGGCCCTAATATACTTTCCAGCCTCTTTGCCTACCATTCCCTGTGCTCCAGCTGCATTTCTCACTTCTGCCTAAAAGGATTTCCAGATTTCATGCCTCACTCATGCAGGCATTCCCCAGCTGGAATGCTCTCTCACCACTTGCCTGAGGAACTACTAATCAGCCATAATTCCTATCTCAAATTCATCCTTCACTACAGAACCTCTCTCTATTCTCAATTCTTCTGTCCTCTGAATTCCCACACACCAGCAGATCTCTCAGGTCATTGATTTTACTTTTTTTTTTTTAACTAGATTGGGAGGGTGGTCTAGCTCTAGTGGTAGAGTACATGTGCCCTAGGTCCTGGATTCAATCCCCAGTACCTCCATAAGAACAAACAAACAAACCTAATTACCTCCACACAACAACAACAAAAACTAGATTTTAAGCTGGCCTCGTAATAGGCAAGAATGCCTTTCACTGAACTCTGATTTCCCTCCTGTGTCCAGCCCAGGATCTTGGACAATGGAGTTTTTCTGTAAATATTGTTGACTGGGATACAAGTCCAGTAAAAGTCAACAGAGGAAAAGACCAGAAACGAGGAATGGTAAACAACGAATGCCCTTTCCTGGGGGAGATCTGAGAGGTTTGCCACAGAGAAATCACAAACAGATGGTGAAAGCATTAGTTTGAAATGTGAAGATGTATCATACTATAAAAACGCAAAAAAGCCAGACTCATGTTGAGTCTGAATGGGAACTGGAAAATAAAACAAGAATGCTTCATCTCCACTGTGTTTAACAGTCACCAGACCTTCACTCCTAGCTTGGTTCCTGAGAGAAGATTGGCAGGAAGTGGGCAGGCGCAGCAGGAAGTGGGCAGGCACAGATGTTACTGTGGTTTATCGGGAACCATGTCAAGACAGCAGCCTGGGCCTGGGATCCAAAGGCAGGACACCTGGGTTTCAGTGATAGTTCTGCCACTTGCCAATCTCTTTTGAGCTCTGTTTCCTCATTTCTAAAATTGGGATACTAACAGCATGCTTAAAGGGTTGAAAAGATGAAAATCATATCATGAAAATGTGGGCTCCATAACAGGAGAGATCATGTCTTTCTTATAGTCCTGTGCCTTGTTCACAGGCACTTGATATTTGACACACCTGATTATTTCACACGTTAGTTATGACATACTACTCCGGAGATTACAGCCAGAGCTTATAGAAAATGCAAAGTGTCCCAGGGAGTCCTTTCTTTTGACTGTAACTTTCTCCCTCTTTATCTTGCCTTCAATAATTTGCCAAGACCCAAGGACCCTTGTGGGGAGGGGATAGCTCAAGTGGTAGAGTGTATGCATGAGGTCCCAGGTTCAATCCCCAGTACCTCCTCTAAAAATAAACAAATAAACCTAATTACCTTCCCCCCTAAAAAACAAACAAACAAACAAACAAACAAAAACTTTGGCAGGCTGAGCTGAGCTCTTCCTCCCAACCAGGGAATTTCCATTCTATCTGGGCAACATCCACTCCTTCTAAAGTGCTCGCTGCATTGCTCCAAGTTGAACATCTGCCTGCCCTTATGCCTAAGCCTGGGTTCACAGTAGCTTCTTGTTTTCTCCAACAATCTGGGAGTTCCCTGGGGCAAATCTGAATTTGCTCCTCTCTCTGCTTTCTCAGGGTTCAGACCAGAAAGAACAGGGTGTATCTGGGCAGCTGGTTCTCTCTTTGGGAAGTATTTGACTCTGAGGTTCAAGGAGCCCTCTCCCCTTCTCACTTAGTGTCCTTACCAAATTGAGTTTCCAAATCACTGAACTTCAGCCCTCTCATTTTACAGATGCAGAATCTGAAGCCCAGAGCAGGGACATTATTTATTTACCTGAGGCTTCAGCGTTCATGCTTACAAAAAGAGAGGAGTCTAAAGCAAGGGCATAGTGTTGATGACAGGCTGGATGAGGCTAGAAGAAGAAAGAGTGAGGTAAAATCAACTGCTGTGTCTTTTAAGATAACTATTAAAATAATAGGCTTTTTTTTTGTCTTTGGGGATTTCTCTTTGTTTTTCCAACCCATAGAGTAGCTAGCCTTCTCTTCTCTAGTACCTCCTGTTCCTTCCCAATCACTTCTAACTAGACACTCCTGTAGGCTCTCTTCTCTGTCAGATTTGTAACTAGACAGCCTTGGGAGAGGCTGAAACCGTGATCAGGGTGAAATAAGGGTTAAGGTGAAGTAACAAAGACTAGCCACATAAACTCCTTCTGTTTCCCTTCCCTCATTCACAGGACCCCAGCTTCTTCAGACACAGAAAACACACACACACACATACTTCCTCCCCTTCTATTGTAAGCCACTTAAAGACAGGGACTATGTCTATATTCCATCAATTTTCTGTTGATAATCCCACTTGGGACAGCTGGTTGCCTTTAATCCTTCCCAGCATCCAAACTAGTGCTCCGATTTTAGAAGATGATAGGAATATTTCAATTCTTAAGCATATGGTGTTCATCCGAATGCTTCCAAGATCACAAAGCCTTAGAAAACCAAAATTCTATCTTAGGTCCCTCTTATCCCTCTCCCTCTTCCCTTCTTCTTCTAGCTTATTTATCTTCCTAGACTATGGTGGAGAGCAGGGGTTCAGGTTAGAAGCAAAGAAAATACTCTGGACAGGTGGAAACAAGAATGCCACTGAAGCGTGTGGCACAGTGCCCACACAATGTACATAGGCAGGCAAGTTACAGGTGGCCAGACAGCCTACCTTGATGGGGCAGGACCACCCAGAGCAAACTACGGACACAATATAAAAAGAGGTGCTCCTTGCCCACCCCGAACCAACGCCAAAGGCACAGCACAGGAAACAGATAACGGGGTTCTGCTAACATCAGCTTAAGAAACACCCTGTGGCCAGGCGGTCGGGTACAGAGAGAATCATGCAGAATTACTCTAGGCTCGGAGCCTCCCAGTCCCAGCTAAGCGGCGGTGCTCACTGGCGGCCCAGCTGGTCAGCGCTGTCTCACGACAATGAGAAATGATCCTGACTGAACCTTCGGTTTCCTCATCTGTAAGACACCGGTCTCTTCGGGTCGCTGGGACAAAATCTGCCACACAGCAGTCGCCAACGTTGGTTCCCGTTCTTTCCCCTTTTCTGGGTCAGCGTGGGCGTTGTTTAAGGTTCCCTAGGGAGACGGCGACTGTCTCCTGGGCTTCCCTTATCCTCGCCCAGGACCGGGTGACGCGCTGCGTTCTCTCAGCTCTGCCTGTTCCAGTGGAAACCCACTCCCGCTCGCGTTTCCACGGGGGCCCGGTCACCCTTCTGTTAGCCCAGGCCTCCCGGGGCCCTGGAGCTCCCTGCACGCCCTCGGGCCTCGGCTCCCGGCCGCCTACCTTCTCCTGGGCCCTGCTGAACTTCTTCTGCACCTGCTTGGCGAAGAGGCCGGCGGCGCCGCCCGCCTTGCCCTCGGCCATCCTGCCGGCTCCCCGGGGCGGCCTGCCAGGCCCGGCGCCCTGTGGTTTTCTCAAGGCCCCCGAGGAGGAAGTGCGGCTCCCGGCATGCCTCGC